CCCCCCCCCCTCGTTTGGAGATCAAAGAGCCTCCCCATGCAGGACGACCACCCCGGCTGATTGACCTTCGAGATGAACCCGCGTGTCACTTGCCGTCACCACCATCTTCATCCGCTGGAGGACCGCTCTCGATCTAGTGGTGTTTGGCAGCTTGAGCTGCATTCTTCAGGGCGGCGTTATGATCGCACACCAACCCGCAATCATTCTATTCCAGGATGCAATGCGGGTACTCTCCCAGCGTGAGGTGGGGCTTCCTGAGGCGATCCAACACGAGGTTGGCGCTGCTAACGATGTGTCGCCTCCAGTTGAAGATGTACAACCCCGCCACAATGAGAGTGGGTTTCGCGGTCAGTGATGCGTAGAATCCCGCCTCATAGTGTGAACGATCGTCATCGCTACCCATGCGCATGATCCACATGCATGCGCTCAACAAAACCCTCAGACAATCGGCAAGCCGCGTTAACCTCTCTTATTTCAATCTGCCGCGGTCCGCCCGTTGTCCTCACCAAAGCACATTTGTCCAGCACTCCACCACGCGAAGAACTGTCGCCTCTTGTTGCGCCGCCATGTCATCATCTTCAGGTTTGTCCACAATTTTCATCCCAATGAACCACATAGGCACGTCCATCTTCATCCGCAGCGTGTAGTAAACGAGGGTTGGGGAAACCACTCTCGACCATTCCAACCCCTGCCAAACAGCTCGTACGACGTTGGTAGCGTAGTCAACGATGATGTATGACTCTGTACGAGCGAAGTCATTCGACCTCGACGACGATTTGAAGATCCATCTGTGGATGGTGCACATTACCAGTTTCTCCACGATGCGCGCTCTGTGCCGGATCGTCGATCTTGAAGTGTGGCACATTGTTCGGCGGCATGATGAGCATGGACGGTGGTTCGACTCCTGCGTCTCCATTGGCGATGGCGACGAAGTAGTCGGCGAAGTCGCCAATCGCCTCCCTCAACAACTTTTCGGGGCCTTAACCCCAAAAAGTGTCGCAATCAACCCACAACTTCGACCTCTCCTCCAGATTAACCTCCTCTGCAGTTCTTTTCCGCCTGCTGGCAAGGGGTCGGTCGTCGTCATCATCGTCTTCCTGTCGCCCATCTCTTTTACCATCTTTGTGGCGCACGTCATCGACCCTCCCCTCTACCACACCTTCCGCGACTCCGCTTGCAAAAGTCTGATGATCTCCCGAAGTCGTCCGATTGCCGCCTAGGTCCACTTTCTTTTGCGGGGGCGGTGTTATCGCCGCGCTTGAACCCCCTGCTTGTTGCGCAGGGAGTGCCTGACGTGGTTGGACTGCCCCGATCACTGCCTTGTCAAGTCGACCGCCCCCAACGACCAGGACGATCGGTGTGCGAACTCCGCTTGCCATCGCCTCACCCACCACCGCAACCTGCCTCTGCACGAGCGCCTCGTTGATGACAATCCCTTGCGCCTTGTGTATCCTAGGCGACGTTCCGGTGGCGCCACCAACGACGACTTGTCTGATAGCAGCCAGTTGATCCCTCGACACCCCATCCCGCCCAAAACCTAATCGTTGGCTCCCTGACGTCCCTTGCGCATCCCACCGCAACTCCCTCTAATTGAAAGTCATCATCATTCGCTCAGCTCGCCTCATCAACACGAAGCCTTTTCAACTTGGGCATGTGGCCTCGACTTTTCTGACCTTCCCCCTCCTCGCCAGGACCACTATCTCTCCTGCCCTTTCCTGTCGCGCCCCGCGGTGCCATGTGGATACAGCTTCAGTCCCCCTGCCACGTGGCTGATGAAGGCGTGCTGCGGTGCGACGCGAACGTGGACGAAGGGCACGTGAACGTCGACGTTCGACGACCGATGGAAAGGAAGGACATGGACGGCGTATGACAGGGCACTGGCCACAGAGGAGGTTTGAGGATGGTGACCAGAAAGGTCCACCACAAAGTGAGAGCAGACGACGTGGAGGTGCGGATCATCGAACGGGATGCGGAGGCGTACGACGAGAGGGCAGTGCACACGAGGCACCTCCAGAGCTGTGGCAATGGAAGGACTGCAGTACGGAATGGCACCCAGACTGTCCTTTTGTACCGTGCGCAGTATCTTACCACACCATGGATGCGCCTCGCCATACCTGAAGCCCGCCCCTTCAATGACCGTGTGCAGACCATTTTCCCCGCCCAATGGAGGGCATCCTTCAATTGGTCCGACATTGAATGTCGGCGCGCAGGAGGACCTCACTGGAGCTCGAAAGGGCATGCCACCCACCCCTGCACCGCCACCACCGAAAACACCCAGTGCCCACATGCCCCCAACGATCAAGGATCGCAACAAAACAAAACAAGGACAAAAGATTCACAAAAAAAACAAATGAAAAGAAAGCCAAAAAAAAAAAAATACTACTAAAAAAAAAAAACACACAAAATCCGTTTGTGGTCCATTCACGCAGCACATCCTGAGACGGTCGGCAATCTCCTCCAAAACAAAGATCGAATTCAACAAATAAGCATTTCACAGCAGGCAACGTGTTCATCGGTCCAGGATCGCAACAGTACTCGGCAAAGACAATCCACAAAAAGGTTGACATCATCGCAACTATTCTAAGAGCATGTTGGACAATCGCAACACTAATCGGCCACAAAAATTGAATTTGGAAAACCTGCTGCACCAACGACAGAAACGACACTGAAGGCCGCTCTACGGGGCATGTGAGCAATTAATACTTAGAACATTAGTAAAACAATACCTATATCAAACAATGCGACGGGCAAGAACGGCCCCTCCTGTGTCTACACTACCTGCACTGTGGCACACTGCAGCACACATGACGACAGCAACGGCGCTGCTCTCGAAACGCACACGTGGCGATTGCGCCGACCTCGGAGACGCGTGACCGAGAGACGTCTAGATCGCTCGCGGATCGCTTTCGCGATCTCCAAAAGAGAGTTGCACATCATCAGGTTCGCCTGGTCAGCCTTCTCGTAGTGCTCCTTCTGCACCTCCACCTCTCGCTCGAGAATGTCGCATTGCCTCGTCAAAACTGAACACTGCCTCTTGCTCGCGCTGTCCCCCGTTGTCGCCATCATCTTCCTGTGCTTATCCATGATGTCGGCGATCGCATCGAAGGTCGGTTGTCTGACATTCTTCCTTTCACCGCCCCCGCCTGCACTACCACCGCTGAAYGTCGAATCCCTCGTCGATCCCTGATCGTCGTCCTGTCCGTCCCCACATCCCTCACTAGCCACGGACTCGTTCCGACCGCCACCTGACCCGGCCATCTGAACCCCTCCAGCCGCACCCGTGTCCGCAAAATTCGCGAGGTGAATAGTGAGTGTGATCGGCCTTCAACATCGCGTTCATCTCGGAATACACACGCTCATCCATCTGAAAGTCGAACCCTTTCTCCTTCCTCTCCGTCGGCGTTGGTGTGAAGAAATTTTGCTTCCCGGATTGTCCCATGAATCTGTGCACGGATTTGAACTGCTGGTACAGGTTGTCCCATTTTTTCCTGCATTCCTCGACCTTCCTAGTAGTCACCCCCGCCTTCACGAGCCTCTTCTCAACGACATCCCACTTCCATGTCCTCGACTTCATCCGTCCATAGTTGTGCCCCAGCCCAACGAGATGCAAATCCTGGTCGCTTTTCGCCCAGACTAGAGCGATCATATGATCGACGGTCCAAAAATCCCTGTTTTTCCCTCCGTCGCCTGTTGACATGCCATCCACAACCTTTTTGCATTTCCGCCCTGCACGTGGTTCCGTCGACTTTTCTGTGGCCCGAGTACCTTCCCGCTCTCCATCTCGCCGTCATCGTCCTCCCCGTTGTCATTGTCGCCGTCGTCTGCTGTGCAATCCTCCCCCGCGCCTCCAGCGCAGTCCACGAGCATGTCATCACCCCGGACGTTCATCTTCGCCACCCCTCTCGTTATGTCGGACGGGCTGGACTGACGCGATTGTCGCCGATGATCGTCCCAAACCTGTCGACCCGTGACCTCTGTGGCGGACAAATCATCGTTGTTCCGTCGCCCGTCAGTTGCATCAGTAGGTGTCGTCAATCGGCAGGCCGCCAATCCCGCTGTCCTCGTACTCGAAGCGGCCACGCCAGCACTGCTCATCGTACCACGCTTTGGTGAAACGAGTCCGTGCTTGTCGCCCAACTCACGGTAACACCCGCCGCGCTCGCCTGGAAGCCCCCCCCCGTTGCCGAAGGCCGTGTGCGGTTGCTGCCCGAAGCTGGGTTGACGACAACGGTGTGCATCACGTCCTGACCGCTACCAGACCTTAGACCGAAGCTCAGATCGACGAGTCCTGCGTCGTCGCCGGTCGGGGTCCGCCCTTCCAGAAGATCACTGGCAGTGTACGTCGGCGTCGGTGGCTGTCTGAACAGCTGGCTCTCCATCCAATCCTGCGTCGAGCCGCTGCCCAGGGGAACCGTTGAGGATGGAGGGTCGTCGACGTCAGCGTCACTAGGAGGCAACTGAATCTTGTGGGAGGGCAGGTGGTTGTACAGCGTCGGGTCGTACGGCCGCCTGGCACCTTCCACACCGGTGCAACGCAAACGTGAAGACCCTCCCTCCACTGCCGACGTCGTGGTCTTCTTCTGAAGGCTGTCCATCTTCCTCGCCTTCTTCGACGTTCTCGGCGTCACTTTCCATCCACGAATGCAGCCGAGGGAGCAGATGTGGAAGACGACAACAACAAGCAGCAGCAAAGCGACGAGGAGCAGCAAAGGCAGCCTGCGGTACAGGTCACATGGATGACAGGGCAGCGGATACGGAACACGCACTTCTGCTGTCGCATTCGAGGCGAGTGGCGACACAGTACTGGAGGAAGAAGCCAACAAAGCAGATTTCTGGAATGGGGGACTGGGGGTGGACGGCTACAAAATTCGTAAATTCGACCATTGGGGAGCCCGTCCGAACGACAAAACCCCTCCAGCAGCCGACCGAAGACGCCCGATGCTCGTCATGGCCCTGTCGACGGGCCGCCCGAAAAACCGATAGGGCCGTCCGACGAATCGCCGGTAACGATAAACTGAGGAGGCCGTTGCAGGACGTTGTTGACGACAACGGCCCGCAATGTCCGTCTTCTGCCGGTGGACCACGAATGGACCACCTTCGCCCTTTAATTTTCCTTCTGGAGTCGACGCCGTCAGCCCATGAATCGTGGATCCTCCGGCTCCAAAGGACCTCGCGAGGTCCTTTGGACTCGAGGACGATTTGCCTGGGAAATCCTCGGAGTGTTTTCACTTTTTTTTTCCGAAAATCGACTCCAAGGACAGGTGCAACGACGACAAAATCCTTGGAGTCGCATCCCCGATGAGTGTTTAACGACGCCCTTACTCATCAGAGGATGATCAAATCTCAACACCCTTCCAACCTCAATTTCTTCACGCCAGCAAAATATTTCAATTTTAACTGAAAGGCAGTTCGGTGGTTTAATGTCATGAATGCATAATTGGCATGGCGCAAAAGGCGCTTATGTCGCTGATATACACAAACTGTGACGTCAAAAAGTAGAAAGGAAGCTGGCACCGGTATAGCTAAAAAAACAGAAGAGAGCCTTTACCAGAGAACCATGGGAAAGGGAGAAAGCTACAGCTTTATCCGACAACCTCATCAATGGCATCAGAATAGTCCTGTGGTGGGAGGCGCTGGATGCAGTCGAGACCCTCTATAGCAGAACTTGACCAGTCTGCCAGAGTTGAAGGAGTCAAGGATCGGTATTGAAGATGGCGTGGAACATCGGTCCTTCCCCTCGAGGGGGGTGAGCCGTACAGGCAAACGCAGCCTCAGCAGCGGCACACGAGGAAGACGAGTCAAACAGGATTGAGATTCTGTTGGAGTCGTGCTTTGACGACTGACTCTTCCCTAAGACTGACCTTTTTTTTTCTTGTTTTGTTTTTAACAAGAAACACCCTCTGCGACAGATAGGAGTGACGCTATAGGCATGCACTCCTATCTACCCTAAGGGTGGCTCCAGTCTATTGGTAGGGAGCATCACCTGCTGGAAAGCGGGTCCAGCGTCCCCATCGAATCACAAAAAGTCTTTATACATAAAGCATGAATGGGGGCAGTGGCACCTCTTCAGTCCTTACTGGACCGCCATATCAATCTGAAACAACAAGCTACCCTGCCCTTCAGAAAAAGTGTAAGCAATTGAAAATCACTCCGCCTCTCTACCAAACCACTGCAAATCAACCACAGCAAGTTGTGAAGTAGGAAAGGGATCTGCAAAACAATTTGGAGATCTAAGGCAAGACCCTGGCTGCAGCTCAAACCAGTCCCATAAGCAGAGATGGAAGTTCCTCTTGAGAGATTCCTCCATCCCTTCACCACCTGGCCACTCCACCTTACCCAGGCCCTTCCCTTGAGTTCCCCCCAGCCAGTTCAAGACAAAGTTTTGAATTATTATTATTATTATTATTATTATTATTATTATTATTTTGAAAGAAACCCCCTCCGGTGATAGTGGTGCTGATAAGAGCAGTCACCACTACCACCCGGGGAGAGGCTCCATCTATTGGTGGGGAGCATCACCTGCTGGAAAACGGGTCCAGCATCCCATATACAGATTGTATTTAGAGAAAACCAGAAAGGCTAATGCAAAATCCTGCCAGCATTGATTATCCTGAAATACAGGGGATTGACTGCGCAGGTCCTCCAGCTAAGTCTCAAAACTCAGAGGATGATTGGCACATACACCGTGATCTGACAGATGTAGAGGACCCTTGCCAGTATTCGTGACAGACCTTGGCAGGGTGGGGAAGGGGGAGCCTCTTCACCTTGAAATCGGCGCCAGATACCTGCTGTTACTACCTAGTTCCTCCCTTCCCCCAGAGATGTGCTATTTGTGTTATCTGTGTGTAAAGACTTTTGAAATCAGACCGAAACCAGACCTGTTCCCTACAGTCCGGCTGTTCCCTTTTTACCCTTGTACCTCCCTCTACCATCCTTCTTTTTCCGTCACTCATCCTTCTTTTCCTTCACTCTCCCCCGTACCAAGAAGCTCCTACCAGGCTGTTTGCTGGGGGGGGGAAGAAGTCTGGGAATTCGCTGCTTGGCTGCATCGGGATTGAATCATCCAGCTTGGTCCAGTTGTTGAAGAGAAGCCTATAGTCCCTATTGACTGTCATGTTACCCCCATTTCCCCCTTGCCCCCCATTTCCCCCCGTCCATTCCACTTTCCCTATCCTCCCTCCAGTTTCCCCCCCGAGCCAGCTTTTGCAGAAATCTTGTATCCTCTGTTGTATTTCGTTCTCAGTATGAATGTGTTTGATCTGTGACTTGATTTCCTCCCATCTTGCTCTGATATTCGTGTGAATCTGCTGTTGTATACTTTCCCTAAATTCTGGCCCTTCCAACCTCACTTCTTCCATTTCATATGTGCAGCGGCGTCTCCAGAGCGCCCACAGCACTGCCCTTCGTCCTTGTTGAAAGATGTTGAGGGTGAAGTCGTCCCGCTGTTCAGATGGCCATCTTTCAATTACTTCTTGTATAATATCCTTCTTCTGATGAAATTTCAGAAGTCTGGTCTTAGTTTTTTTCCATTGTGCTCTGATCTTAGTCTGAACAACTTGAACAATCATCTCAGAGATTTCCCCCCTTTCCAAGGCTACGTTATCTCTTACTAGGACACAACGTTTGTACCAAAGGGGCCGTGATACTGCCTTTCTGCCTATAGTAAACAGATTACGCTGAAATTCAGAAAGTTGGAAGTCTATAGTACTAATTCACAAAGCTCCGTACTTATCTCGAAATTAGGATTTAGTTGTCATGTGAAACTTCAAGCTCCGCAGTGGCTCAGTGGTTAGAGCACTGGTTGGAAATGCGCATTGTGGTATTAGGGCGCATGTTCAAATCTTTCAGCCTGCACTCTTGCGCATAGGCCACCAGCGGGCGTCGCCCGACGTACTGCGGCTGACACATGGTACTATTACAGACACTGCCTATGCACCACCCAAGGGGTTAGTCCATGGTTGTAGTATGCTGGTAGCAGGCCTTGGGGGGAGGCCTGATTGAGTGCTTAGCCTTGGGGTGGTCCGACGAGTCTGTGTGTATGTGTGTGTGTGTGTGTGTGTGGGTTGTGTGGTATGTGGTCCGATGATCTCTGGGTCATGTTTCGTGTACTCACCATGGGCAGGGTATAGGAGTTAGGTTGGGTAGGGGTCTTGGGTCTTAGGTCTAGGCTAGGTAGGAATTTGTCGAGAGATTGTGGGCCTGTCTGTGCGCACCATCTCGTTTTGTATGCATGCTCTGTTGGTTTGTCATTGGTGTGACTGGGTACCATGGTAGATTCCCGACCTCATGGTACACCAGCGAGAGCCCATACGTACATTGTACAATTCTGGTCCCGGTCCGGCCACGCTCTCTACACCCCCCTTGAGTAGTGGTAGGGGTTGGGTGTTAGGTGTATGCGATTCCCAAGGATGGGCCTCATGTCTATCTTACAATGCTTGCCGGCTGGGCTTCATCCGGGCTGGTACCTGTCTACGTTCCCATTGAGGGGGTTGATTGGGGCGTGAATCTGGGGAAGGGTCACTGGGTGGGGGTCTCATCTTAGGCAGGGGAGAGTGGGTTATCGCATTCATAGTAGAAGGGTGGTAGACACCCATAGAGTCTGCTAGATGTGATACAGGTGGGGAATGACCATGTATCTGTGACCCCTCCTGTGTCCGGATCATCCTCGAGAATTCTGGGTGTCCCTATGGTAGCGCCCGGGGGGCCTCGTCTGAGACCCTCGGAAGGCGCGGGTTGGTATAGGTCGTCTAGAGACAAGGTCTGGGTCGCACCGCTGTTGGGCTCGACTTGCGATCTGATTAGGACAGTAAGAAAAGTTCATGAACGATGTCACAAGCCATCTGATCTCCCCACTGGTTGAGTACAACGACATGCACCTCCCAATGCCTAGCATCCAGCCTCTACTACAATCTGGACTTGAAAAGAAGAAGAAGAAGAAGAAGAAGAAGAAGAAGAAGAAGAAGAAGAAGAAGAAGAAGAAGAAGAAACTTCAAGCTGCGCTCTCGGTTCGTGTGTTTTGCTTAAAACATACCCTAATTTGTTGTACTGGGATCGACCGACAAAAGGCCACACAATCTGCTGCCAAAATCAAACATTATAAGCCTCCTGAAGTTATAAAGGGAAGGGTCTTTGATATCGAAATGAAATTATACTTTGAAAACAAGGCAAAAAAAAAACAAAACGCCTCATATTTCAAAGGGAAAGTGTCATCTCTGCATCAATATTTTGCTCTGAAATGGCATATAGCTGCAGTAATTTTGATCTCTGCTGCACAATCCAGAAGATCAGGGCTTTGGCAGTTAGGTGTGGAAACTGAGAGGAGAAGAGGAGGGGGCTTTATCACAAGGTGGCGTGGAATAAGGTAGCGCGTCCTAGATCAGAGGGAGAGTTCCTTCGTTTTCAGTATAGGACGTGGTGATTATTGATGATCGCTTTCCAAATCAATTTCGATTTTTTTTAAGTTCATATGGGACGCTGGGCCCGGTTCCCAGCATGCGCTGCTCCCCACGAATAGATTGGAGCCTTGTTCCCAAAAAAGAAAAAAGAAAAAAAAAAAAGCATGGTCTTCTCTTACGCGCTTCAGTTTCGTATTGCAAGGTGTGATAGGTGTGCATCATATTCTCGCTTCGACTCCATAGACCGTACCCTGACTTCCCGCATAATTTGGAAAGGCCATGCGTATGTGAGTGGGCCATAGCCGCCATACACGAAGCTCTGGTCCAGATCCGGCGACCTCGTCAATACCATGAGAACGGACAGTGTTCCGCTTCGTTAACTTCCTCCCGCTGATCTACTGAGGAAGGTTAACTCTCTTGTGATTGTGAACAGTCTTTCCTTCTATTGTCAATTTTGCTTCCATTTAACGAGTTCACTGCTGTTATGTGGCCTGCTGTTGCGCACTATTAGCCCCGTACATTGTGCTCGGATTGTAGACGAAACAAATAACTGAGAAAGACGGGGTTCGGCTATGTGTTACATGGAGATCGGGAAGTTGTGGAAAGGGCAACGCGATTACCTGCGTCCGATTCTGATTCCGATTCCAAGCTCTGTGAGAGACGGCACGGTGTCAAACTCTCGCTTGGACCAAAGATCCCACGTACACACCCCGCCCTTTCGCCCTGGGAAACGTTCCCAGAGGGCTCAGCATAGGCTCGGCATAGCCATTCTGATACCTTGAATCATTTTTCACATTATGAAGTGTGAAAGTTGACGTGGAGACGGAAGTTACGGCTGAAAACGACTCATTTCATGGCTCCTCGCCATCGTTTAGACCTCAAACAGAAACCGATACAAGAGATTCCAGTTCCTGCAATTCCAACCCGCCCCCCTTTTTCCTAAAATCCTTGGCACACCTGTATTTTTTGCACTTTCCTGGACCCTTACGCAATAATTCCACTCCGACTCCGAACGAAAGCAGCGTCGGACATGAGGTTGTGTGTCAGGAAGATTCAGAAATTTGACTTGTTATTATTATTATCTTTTTTTTAATAGAAACTTCTGAGGGCCACAGTTGGGAGAGTGATAAGAGCATGTCCTTCAAGTGGGTCCCTCAGGTGAAGGCTCCTTCTATTGGTGGAAAAACGGTCCGGCATCCGGAATACTACAAGACAATTATGTTGAGTTTTCTGGAAACCGGGTCCACCCAGCAGGTTCAGGAGGGGAGGGGGTAGGGGGCGCGGGGGTTACTGGGAGTTAATGGTGGGGGGCCCGTAGGTATAGGAGGGGGAGCGAAGGGGGAGCGGGAGGGGGGGCCCACCAGGAGGGCCAGGGGTAGCAGCGCCGTGAGAGACGGGGGAACCATTGGCAGTGGGAGGGGAGGCTGCGGGGGTACTGGGGGCGGGTCGTTGGGCAGGGGGGCAGTGGTTAATCAGGCGTTGGGGGGGGATGAGTTGACTGCGTCGGTGCCCTGGASTGGGGAGGGGGGGGAGGGGGGGAAGGGGGGAGAGTCGAGCGGGTAACTCGTTTGGGAGTTGGGCTCCTGATCCAACATCGAGGCTTGCCAATTTGATTCTTATCCTCCAAAGATACACAAGTATGCATCAGGTTCAAATACCATCTGCATGAGCGTCGATAGCACAAACACCAAGCTCACTACCTGGTGGAGCTTGGTTACTTCAAAGAAACCACGATAGGTTATTGGTTAGGTTCGCTAAACAGGATTAAATCTTTAAGAGAGTGGCAAAAAGTGAACAGTCCTTATCCTGGGAGGATCTGCAGTTACAGATGTTGAAATGGAGTGAAAGTAGATAGGGATGGAGGGATTAGAGTGACCCTTGAATGAACGGGTACCCTGTAGTGGTTTACAGACAGATTTTTTGGGGGGCAGGGAGACCAGGGCTGAAGGAGGGGGGGCTTCAGAGGCCGTTTTTTCCATTTTTTGACCTTTTTCTTTTTAACTAAGCCATGTTTTTCTCTTAAATACACCATTACTACCTACCTACCGCTACTTCTATGCCTGTCGAGGGGACCCCTGGTTTGGATTTATTTTGTTTTGGGCTGTTAAGCCCCCACGTACCAAGTGCAAAATCGGTGATGCCGCCGCACACTCGAGCTTTTTGGTGACGTACCTGGATGATTTTTAGACACAGTAAAAGGAAATTACCAACGGTAACTTCTGCTGGTGCTATTGCAGCAGCGCCCTTGAAAGGACAGGTAATCCTTTAATTGCTTTTGGAAGGATCTCAGCGAGTACGCCCTTGAAAGGAGAGAGAAAAGCAACATTTTGGAGCGTAGTTTTCCTCCTACCTTGAGCAGTGGTTGGAGAGAAGAGCGGAGCACTGTGGTGTTCTACCCTGTGATATGTACTGTCCAAAGACAATTTATGATATACCAATGCATTATTTACAGTTTGGGACGTCTGGGTGGATGCATGAGAACTCCCACCAGTTCAGATAAAGCCGCCATTTACAGTGCGGGACGCGCATCACGTGGATGGATGTCTGGGCACTCCCACCGATTCACATAGACGCCAAGGACCTTGCAGTTTTTCTGAAGTTGTATAGCACTGTATACTTCTTGTACTGGATCGAATGAAATGGACATTGTGGTGCGTCAGAGTTTACAACACACGACAACCTCAACTCGTACGAGGGGACACATACAGGCACCATACCACAAGCTGCAAAGCACAGATGTTGGCGCAAAGTTCGCAGCGCTTGTCCTCTTATAAACTCACCTAGCAATGTGGTTAAAAAAAAAAAAAAAAAAAAAAAGAGGACACATACAGGCACCATACCACAAGCTGCAAAACACGGATGTTGTCGCCAAGTTTGCAGGGAGAGCAGAAAACTCAAAAGAATGACAAGAAGAAAAAAGAGTTGGCCTTCGCAGGCAACAGGTGAATTGTCATCAGCTGATTCAGCTCTGACATTGCAAGAAGAATTCTCAACCAATCATGCATCTGTCTGTATGCGTGGCCCACATGCATTGCTCTTACGAATGCGAGTTACGCGCCATCGGCATCAACCCAACCTTCCTCAATGCCTTACCCCAGCTTTATCCAATAGCACTGCTACTCTCATCTTAGCTGAGGCAAGACCACCATTACCCGATACAAGTCGCACACACTTGATGCCACCCCTGTACACAGCAAGTAAAAGTTCAAGGGTCGGCTTTGCACAAACTTGAGTCTGTAAACTTCACTTAGACCTACACCCTCACGTTCTCACAAGCACAAATTCAAGCATCCATCATCCGTAAGAACTGAAGTCTTTGACATTCAACCCACATCCTCATCCACAATCAATATGAACACTTCTTCCCGGACACCTTTGCTCACCTCCACATCTCCCTCCCCTTTCCGCTCACCCACATCCCTGCCTCCTGCCTCCTGCCCTTGCCCTTGCCCTCGCATTGCTCACCCTCATCCCCTCTCACTCACCTTCACCCTCACCCTTGCCCTCACCTTTGCCCTCGCCCTCGCCCTCGCCCTTGCCCTTGCCCTCACCTGTGCCCTCGCGCTCGCCCTCGCCCTCACCCTCACCCTTGCCCTCGCCCTCACCCTCGCCCTCGCCCTCGCCCTCGCCCTCACCTTTGCCCTCACCCTCACCTTTGCCCTCGCCCTCGCCCTCGCCCTCGCCCTCGCCCTCGCCCTCACCTCGTCCTTGCCTCGCCCTTGCCCTCGCCCTCGACCTTGCCCTTGCCCTCGCCTCGCTCACCCTCATCCCCTCTCACTCACCTTCACCCTCACCCCCGCCCTCGCCCTCGCCCTCACACTCATCCTCATCTCGCCCTCACCCTTGCTCACTCTCGCCATCGTCCTTGCCCTTCACCTTGCCCTGGGCCTCGCCTCACCTGGCCCAAATGCCCTCACCTTCATCAATCAGCCTGGCCTCACCATGATTATCTTCTTCATCTGCAGTTTGTCAATCACTTGCAACACTGTCCTTGACCTCACAATCCCCTTCCCTCACCCTCAATATCACCCCTTCTGGTGGTTGTCCTGCATCGCCGTCGACATCACCCTCTGCCTACCCTTCATCCTGGTCATCACCATCCGCCTCACCCTTGCCCTTCTGGTGGTTGTCCTGCATCGCCATCACCATCACCCTCTCCCTACCCTTCATCCTGGTCAACACCATCCGCCTCACCCTTGCACTCATTGCCACCCTCCCCCTCTTCTCTGCCTCCCTTGCCCTCACCCTTGCAATCATTGCCACCCTCCCCATCTTCATCCCCCTCACCATTGCACTCGTTGCCACCCTCCCCCTCTTCTCTGCCTCCCTTGCCCTCACCCTTGCACTCATTGCCACCCTCCCCATCTTCATCCGCCTCACCCTTGCACTCATTGCCACCCTCCCCCTCTTCATCCTGGTAATCACCATCCGCCTCACCCTTGCCCTTCTGGTGGTTGTCCTGCAACGCCATCACCATCACCCTCTCCCTACCCTTCATCCTGGTCATCGCCATCCGCCTCACCCTTGACCTCACAATTCCCTTCCCTCACCCTCAATATCACCCCTTCTGGTGGTTGTCCTGCATCGCCGTCGACATCACCCTCTGCCTACCCTTCATCCTGGTCATCACCATCCGCCTCACCCTTGCCCTTCTGGTGGTTGTCCTGCATCGCCATCTCCATCACCCTCTGCCCACCCTTCATCCTGGTCATCACCATCCACCTCACCATTGCCCTTCTGCTGGTTGTCCTGCATTGCCATCACCATCGCCCTCTCCCTCCCCTTCATCCTGGTCATCACCATCCGCTTCACCCTTGCACGCATCGCCACCCTCCCCCTTTTCTCTGCCTCCCTTGCCATCACCCTTTAATCCAGTTTGCTAAACATCTGACCCGTTCAAGTATTTGGCTTAATCCTTTGCAAAATGCTTGCCCCCTTCCTCCCATACGTCTGTCAACCACTCCGATGAACATCCTTGCCCAATCTTCTTCTTGATGTCGACCTCTCATTCACATCCTCACATACAGACTCAAGTTTGCACAAAACTCTACCCTTGAACATTGAAGGCTATCAGCTGGGCATCCGTCCCTCGATACATGTTATCTTCTCCAAGCATTTGCCTCAATTGAGCTGCTAGCAAGTCAAGATTGTCCTGATGAATGCCTAGTAATCGGAGAGACTCTACTGCTTCAAGCATCTGTGTGTTTCTTCGATAGCCTTTAAAGGATATACCTATACACCGGTGCCTGCTTCAAGCTCGTACTCGGACAAACTCTCCTCGTTTCACGCACATCTGCGCCTTACCCCAATGTCGGACCCAAGCTGCCTCCGGCCTGCCCTTGTACATGCCACTCCAGTTCATTTTCCAGGTACGACGAGCAATTCCAATCTCTCTCTGAGAGCAAATGAAACTGAAATCACGTTAAAATACGAACAAACACAATGCTTCCTCTCCTGCTGCTGACTGAGGCTTAGAGGTCTCAAGATGGATCTCCTTCCAATACAGAATGCTGTCGATGCTTAAACAACTCCAAAAAATCGGCATGTACACAGCTCCTCCTTCCACAGCAACGGCAAGAAAACCTGAAAACCCGCAACTGCTGCACAAGAGTCGCATAACCTAGGTGCACAACCATCCCCGCTGAGAGATCCAGAGTTCAAAACGGCATACGGACATATCTCTCGCTGCATGTGTAATATCAGTAAGTCGCAGCAAAGGTCCGATTGGTTGATTAGATGGATAACGCACGACCACAGGGCTGTTTGGTCTGTATCACAAACAGCGACCAAACAGCACAGCTATATTCGGACAAGGCCCTAGCCGTGTCTCTTGGAAACCGTGCAGTCCTCCTTCGGCACTCAATGCATCCGCTAGTACCAGCCAGCCTGGTTATCAACAACTCAAAAGAGAGGTGGAAAAATGCAACACACCTCGAAAAAAAAAAAAGAGTTGAAGCAACACACTCAATGGTACCAATCGCAGCCTGGATGGTACCAACTCACCTATATAGCAATTGCCCACCCAAAAGTCAGTCTGTCGACCACCGGTTGGGTTCATCCTGACTAAGGACGTACTAACACAAGGACTTTCCAGTAGTATAGTCTCTACACCGGTTCCTGGATGCGTTACAGCCGTGATTACAGCCTGACCTGGACGCATCTGACCCCAGTTACATCCGGCGCTCAGTCAAAAAAAGTCCCCTAGTGTGAGTATGTTCTGAAACACAAGCAGGGTCGACACACCTCTCAGCAAAGGTCCATATTTACTACAACTCATGCCAGAAAGCATGCAGCCTTCATTGCTTTGCCCCCAGAATACAGCAGGGCAGCCAACGACAAAATGTGGAGATAGATCCAGCACGACGACGACTAGTGACCCGGTGATCATCCGGTGATGTACAGGGACGACCGGTAACCCAGGAATAAATCAATACTCGGCAGTGCAGCAAGGACCCATTAACTGGAAACCTTTATAATTCGCACCCATTTACTTGCTGCACTGTATATATCTCGCAGTTCAAAAGTCACCACTCCGTGTCATTCACTTGCCGCTCTCTATGATTGGCTGTATCAATAACCACGCAAACAACACATCTTCACATTTGCAACTGTCTCTACCTCTGCTCATAGTTGGAGGCTCTTCTCCTTGGCAGCGAAAAACCAGCATCGTCCACCTCGAATGATAATTGGACAAGGGAGCAACGAACAAAAGCTTGCTGGCATCTCTTTCCAGCAGAGAACCTGAGCGAATGCTGATGCAACGAATAAGAGAGACCTCCAGACGCAAAATAAACGATATATGTCACCCCTGAAAGACATCATATCACCTTAAAAAAAATAAAAAAATTGCCAGAACTGGGAACTTGTTCCACGAACGCCAAGCACTTGGCAGTGTTGGCACACTCTTCAACAAACACCTAGCACGTGGCAGTCTGCTCCTGAAAAACGTTGGAAGTGCCAACGCATAAACCAGGACCGATTCCCCTTCCATATCTGTCAATTTCCATTGGTGCCCGGAACTAAGATAATTAATGAAAACCTGAAACTCGTTCCAAAATTTTCCAGAACCAAATTCCAGTGAAATCTTTGGCTCTAAGTCGCTGACATTGCCGTGATCAGCCAGTAAACTTGAGCAATCACCTACATTGCACCAAACAGTTAACAAACCCTCATCACAGAGAGTACATCTCAGGTCCGCCCTCCCAAACTGCCTAATCTACATTCATCTCACGGCAAGCTTACCAGTATCCCTGAGTGACACCCAATCATCAGCGCATATC